GTTTTGAGGCAGGAAGATAGGATAAAAGATGGAAAATAAGGGAAAGGGACCAGGAGGCATCATTTGGCCCAGATTAGAACAAGGTCACTAGACAAATCCTCGCAGATTTTTTCAGGGAGTAAACAAACGTTCCCTGTCCTTGCACTGGACAATTCGTCCCCTGATGGCAGGATGAGAAAGAGATGTTTCTGGCTTTGACGGGTTACGTACAAAATTCGTCTTCTCTCAACAGGATGTGAAAGAAGGTAGAGGCTTGTTTTATTCTGTGCAAAGAGTTCACATTGCTAAGTGACCAGAGTGACCTCCCAGCCACAAAAGTGGTACAAACCACAGGTAGTCAAGGGAAACCAACGCAGCTCGAAAGGTAGATTCCAAGTGAAACTAAAAATATGAAAAATACAGTAGAGAGGGGGGAAGGCGACATCACACATAAAAAAGAATGTCATTTTTTAAAAAAAAAGTTACCATCCAGTGAAGCAGAAGTTTTCTCTAGGACCCCGGTCCTATCGGGCCAGTGTGTCCACTACAAACCCATAAATGAAGTTGCCGACAAAACGGAAAAGAAAAGAAGAAAAAACCCTGCCTAGTACAATTTAGTTGAGTTTCCTGGAGGGACAAGCTGAAACCAGCCAAGTTTTCCATACTCCGGGAAGGAAGAAAAAAAAAGAGGGAGCAATCTTCTGCATTTTAATATCACCGGAGCGTCTTTAAAGCTTTGGGAAGTTTCCTCAGGAGGCCAGGAGCATTCAGAAATTTAAACATACGGAGTCCCTGCACCGTTAACTTCTTTTTTCACCTTATTTAAATGAATTCTACTGCTCACCAAAAGTTTAGAATCCCTGGCCCAGAAAATATATTGAGTTCGGATATTCTTTAAAGGACTAGGAAAAGACAAGGAGAGAGGGAGCCGCCCAAGGCCAAAGCCCAAGGGACCCCCAAGAACCAACCCCACCCCGCCCCCCATCTTCCCACTCCCCACCCCCCACCCTTTGCTGCCCTTTGATGGAGTGCAGGTGCCCTCCCGGATGTCCAAGGGAGGCCCAGCTGCTTGGGCCCCTGCAGGTCTAACCGGGCCAAGGGTCATCTGTGATGGGAGCAGAGGGCGTAAAACGGGTTTTCTGCCTGCTGATTTTACCAGGAAAAGCCCATTTTATTTCTCATGGCTGCAGCCTGTGCTGTAAAGAGACCAGAGAAAGACCGACATTCTTAGCCATTAGCAGTCAGGAAAACCAAGCCAAGCTAACTCAAGAGTGACAGCTTCCTGCAGACAGACTGCAAGCCGTCCATACCCACTGAGTACAGGCTTGCTGACTGAGTTGAATGAGACACCTGGTGTGGATGGGGGGGAGGGGCGGGGGAAGGTTTCTAGAAGAATGACGGATGGTCTGTCTACACTCAGTACACATTAGGGGACCTGGCGTGTCTCTGTTCAAATCAGAAACTGAACCCATCTTGCAGAAGCTCCAATTTTTTCCTCTTTCCTTAACTAAGGGTGGGCCCCCAAACATGTACCCATTACAAGGGAATACAGAGGACAGCGCCCTACTCTGGACAGAATGTCCCCAAGCCTTTGATGGGGCAAAGTCAACAAGCCTGAAGTTAAATCACACCAACTTGGGGGATCAGCTGGGCCCCACCTGTCAACAAGCACAACCGTCATGAGTGCCTGCCTTGGGAAGATTGTGTGCCAGGCAGGAGGAGACAGGAAGGTAAGAACCCCGTGATATGCGTACCCCCAGGGCCCACAGTCCAGCAGAGGACAGGGAGAGTGGTATTGGAAAGAGAGGGCCTTCGGTATGAATGTGAAACTAGGATGCAGCAATTCACAGAAAGGCTTGCTCATGAATCTTGGGGTTTTAGAATGATCTAGACAATTTTTGAGGGTTTTGAGATTTTCCATGCAAGCATTCAAGTATAAAGTAAGCCCGAAGCTGAAACCATGAGAAGATTAGAATCTGCCAAAATGTATCTTATATCCTCTTTGCTTTTGTTGTCTCAGACATCTGATCAAAGAGACATGGGATGGAGATGAGAGTTCTGTACTAAGATTCTAGAAACGGACCAGAAACTTTTACAGTGACTTACTTGAAACAGCTCTAATTCATAATCAGTTTCTGGAAAGCTGCTGGGTCCCATTTCTGTATCCATAAGGTGATAATAAATTGCTCTTGGCACCACCTCCCTCACCGGGGGATTGAAAAGAGTTAATGAGATAGTGTCTATAAAAGGTTTTGTGCTCCTTGCAAGGCATCAAGGAATCAAAATAAATGCTATTGTCCTTGAAGCTCTTCTAATCCAACAAGCTTCAGGAGAGCTTAGATATGCCACTGTTCTCTCTTCCAACCTTTTTCTCCCGAACTTTTGAAGGTTGGCATGACTGATTCATCTAACACACTGAAAGCGGCCAACAAAATGGAAAAGAAAAGCTTCATGCAAATCCTTCTGTGTTTCTGCATAGGAGACTGTGCAGAGCAAAGAATACAACCTACTTCCTGTCCTCCCAATCGCTCAGGGCCCTCTCTGGTGACGTGGCTGTAACTTATCCTCACTCGTACAAAAATTATTCATTTTCCACCGTGAGTCAGAACCTCTCAGTCTCCGTCGTACTAACAAAAATGCATCCACTCGAGCCATGTTATGCTTGGGATGTTTTCCCCTGAAGCACATATTTTATCTCCTCTTCTCTGTGTTCTTTCAGAAATTATGGCTTCATCTGCATCTGACTGATTTGTATATATTTGTATACTACTCCATTAGAAATGTGGATTTTCCCACCTTGTGCAGATGAGGTATGCTACATCCCAAGTATTTATGAGTTCCTTGGAAGGAGGGATTCACTTGGTGCTTTCTATCCATCTGGATTTTGGTCTGTCATCTGCATTTGCCTATTTCATTGCATTCATAAAATAGCCTCATTATTTGGGGAGCCGGAGAGGACCAGGAGATTTCAAGTCCCCCCAAAAGCTCCTCAGGTCAGCGCTGGGCACTAGGAAGAGACGGGTTTGCCATTCACGTTACCTCTGTCCGGGTTGCAAATTCACACATTTTACATGGGAGGCGAATACTGCTCCCAGATAGTTTCACAGCTTAAGGATGTGGAAAATACCCACTTCCTATTGCAAATGCACCAAATGAGCTCCTCCGCTCAGTTAACCATTCAACGACAAGAACAGCCAACAGCCAAGAAGTCAAAGCAGAGGGGAATATGCTGAAATATTTACTAACACACGTCAAAGGAATGAACACCTCAAGACAAAGACATCGCCATTCACACCCCCGGTCGGGGCATGGGCTTCTGGTCTCTCTAGTAACAGCCGTGACTGCTATTGGGTCCTGAATGTACTCCGCACCCTTCAACCGGACCTAGAACCCTGCCAGAGCCATATAGTAAATAAGAATGGCCATGTTAATGGATCTCATCACACAACTGACCTTCAACAGAAAGAATAAAAGTAATCATTACAATCCCCCCAAGTCAATAGCACTTAGCATTCAGCAGGTTTCCAGTGTGTTAATGCCCTCTCTCCAGCACAAGCTCCCTGAAGCCCAGACCGGTAGATGGAGACCAGCTTAGCCACCATCTCCCAGCCCCAGGGAACAGGCCCTCCCACATTACTCCTTGAATCTTTTCCTTTTGCCAGAACTAACTCAAATACTGGGGAAGCCTCTGCCTGTCACCCCACACAGATCGCTTCCTTCTTAGAGCTTCTCTAGAAGTCAGTGCTCATTGGGGACCCAGACAGAGGCCTTCTCTCCACCTTGGGACGCCATTTCTTCATGCACTCGCTGCATTCTGAAAAGCCTAACAGGGGCCAGGCGCCGGGGGGAGCCGGGAAGCCAAGGATGCATAAACACAGACCCTGTCTCTGAGTGGTCCAGAGGCTGTTGGGGGAAAACAGCATGGCTCCTCCGAGTCTGAACGCTCCTCGGGGGCAGGAGTCTTTGTGTCTTCCTGTTGCCCCTGCTCAGCACCTAGCATGGGCCGTTCTCAGGCGAGCCAGCACTCAGCCAAAGTAAAGGCTGATTCAACCACGCAACCAGAGAATCCAAGGGGGGCTTCCCCAAACACTGATGCATACAAGCGCCCCCACTTTGTGCTCACAAATTACAGCAGTACCAAGATTCCGCCCCTTGAACAAGGTAACACGCGCAGATCCCTTTAGGCCTGAGTCCTGTTCACCTGCTCTGTAATTAAGGTATTTTGGAGGGGATTGGAAGGGGCTTGTGGGGCCGGGGCTGATGGAGTATTTGCATAACAAAATATGTTTGGAGCCAGAGATTCCAGTCACTCAAAATTCAAAAGAAACAAAAACAAATTTGCAAGAATGAGGGAGCAGATTTTCACTCCTCTTAGGCTCTAGCAAATAGCTCAGTCATTCAGAATGTCCTTAGACCGTCCTTCCCGCCCCCCCTTCCCCCCCCTCACCGGAGGGCTTGGCTAAGCAGGCTATTTACTTCTAACCAGAGGCCTAAAGGAGCACAAAGGAGGGAAGTTGGTCGCTGCCCCTGAGACTGTGGAACGAAAGCCACACATTATCCTGTGGAGACTGGACGGCTCAGCAGGTCTGTAATTCATTTGGTGGCCACTGGAATTTGTCTCCTCCGCAGCCCCAGACAAAGGACTTCCAGCCACAGCAAAGTGACCCCCGCACACCTACGTGTACAAGACCCCCCTCCCCAATCTCCCCCCTCCCAACCCTTCCACACGCCCCGGTCCCCTTTGACACTTACAGTAACAAAGCAAGGGGACCCAAGTCCACATTTTTTTAAACCAATTGTAATTCCCTCCAAAGCAAATTCCTATCACACAGTCTCAACAAGATAAAAGGATGAGAAAATAAGGCCCGGCATGGATGGGAGCAGAGCAGACAGCCTCAGAAAAGGGAACAGACCGACTGGGGTGGGATCATTTTGGCTAGGAACTCAGGGCATAAATGTCTTGCTGAGACTCAACGCGTGTCCATCAGGCCTGAAACGGAGCATCAAACACACGGAAGTACCTGCTCTCTGGTTCCCTTGAGTTTCCGGTTGCGCGTGAGTCGGTCCCAGCTCAGAGGCAGCGTTCGGCTTCCTGGGAGGAAACCTAAGACGTTGATTTATTCTGCGGCCACACATCCTGCTGGTCTTTGGTCCCACCATCCATTTCCAGGAAAAAAGGGGGGAAGAAAAAAGAAAAAGCCAGAATGGCATCCATAAGCAATCATTTTCAAGATGGCGTGCTACAAGCAGTTTAATGTCAACGCTCACACCAAGTAGGGAGACTCAGGGCCTGTGTTTCAGGGCCGCGCTGCGGGTTGCTAGCTGTCTGGCCGATTTCGGTATTCTTCACCTGGGTCGCCAGCTTCGTGAGGATTAAATCCGTGTGAGGAATATGATTAAACAGTGTATGCTCAATAGTAGGATGCATATAAAGGGCTTAGCAGAGCGCCTGGTGTTTAATTAGCACTCCCTCCGTGGAGAGTAGAAGACATTGCAAGTCATCTCTTTGTCTCCTCTCCTCTCCCCCATGTCTTCCTCTCTCCTCCCATCTCCTGTCTCTCTCTTTCTCCCCCCTCTTACTCTCTGTCTCTGTTTCTTCCCATGTAATACACATACATACACATACACACACACACACACGCACCCACACGAGTTCTGAACCTGGATGGACCTCCTAGAGAGTGACAGCTGAGTCGGTGTGGGCATTCCAGAACCCCAATCCTAGGCTGATCACAAGTGAGTACTGGAGGAAGGGGGTTACATCAGGACAAAGCTGAGAAACTGAATTTAGCCTGGAGTGGACTCCAGAGTCCCAGAAATAGCTGGACCTTCATTCTGCCCAGACGGAGTAATGCAAGATGGCTCCTCGGTCCAAATCGCCCCCTTACGTGCCCTCTAGCCATGGAGGAAGCCAGGGCTGGATGCTGCATGGAAGGGATTTGCGGAACAGAATGGAGAGCCCTACTCATGCCTCTCATTAATGCAAACGAGGAGACTGGGTTAACTTTCTCACATCTCTTATCGTTTCTCCACTCCATTTCCACGTCACTGTAAGTCTGCATGGGCCGCACACCACGGACGCCTTCAGTAACATGGCGTGGCTACTTGTTGCGTGTCTTGTGCTTCCGTGATGGCGCTCAAGATTCGAGGCTTGCCCAGTGAGCTAATGGATGGAGCAGCCTGACAGGCATTTATCGTGCATCAAAACAAATTCTGGTCAGGGTGTGTGGAGAGAGAGAACCCAGACGAGGGGCAGCAGGTGAGGGAAGACTTCCCAGAGACAGTGACTCCGGAGGTGGATTTTAAGGGTGACTCGGGGTTACCACATGGGGCTGCAGGTGGGAGACAGTCTGGAAGCCCAGGGACGAGAGGAGCTCAGAAAGAGAACTCTGTGTCATTCCCAGAGTGGGGGAGAATTTGGACGCTCAAAGGGGAGAACAAGCCAGGCCAGCTCAGGAAGGACCTGTTCAAGAGTCTAGACTATCTCCAGAAAACGGTAAGACTTTACACAGTGGGACGATATAATCAAATTTCAGTTTCAGAAACTACACTCTGAAGACAGCATGATTGAAGGCAAGGGGTGGGAAGTGAGGGATACCGCTGAAGTACGTGCTGGAAAATGTCTCATTTTCACTCAAAAATTATAACATACACCATGATTTTAGTCCCCTGAATGAGAATAGTGCACGTCAATTCCTTTAGGCATTTTCTCAGTGATTCAGGAAGTTTCGAGGGGACCGCAATTCTCAATACTGGCTGACTGAAGGACTGTGGGAAATAATGGAGAAGTTAAGAATGACTCCCAGATTTCTGCCTGGAAAGTGAGTGGACCATGAGGTCTTTCACCAAGGAAGAAATGGAAGGAAGACGACTTCAGTCTGATCTCCTGAATTCGAGGTCCTAGAGTATATGAAAGTACAGGTAGCCAGTTGGCTGGGTCTCAGGAGAGGATTCTAAGGCAGAAATAAACAGCCAGGGGCACCTGGGTGGCTCAGTCGGTTAAGTGTCTGACTTGGGCTCAGGTCATGATCTTGCAGGTCATGAGTTCAAGCCCCACGTCAGGCTCTGTGCTGACAGCTCAGAGCCTGGAACCCCTCCCACACCCTACCTCATTCAAAAATAAATAAACATTAAATTTTTTTTTTTTTTTTTAAAGAAAGAAGCAGCTGGGATGCACCTGCCTCTCTTGGAAGCTCACATGGAAAGTACGCACCGGAAGAGAAGAGAAGACCACGCCATCAGAAGCTGGGACACGCCAACACGGGGGATGGGAAGTGGAAAGAGCATCTCAAGAGGAAACCGAGAGGAAGCACACAGAGATGAGAGGAAAAAGCTTCAAGGAAAATAGTGTCAAATGTAAGAAGGAAGTCAAATAACAGCGGAAAGAGCCCCCTGGATTTAGCACCTCAAAGAGGGAGCCCCCGGGTGACCTGGGTCAGGGGAGTTAGTTCAAGAGGCAGGTGTGGGTGGATGACATTTACCCTGTGTCACCGGGACATTTGACTCATTGCAACTTTAGCTCCTGACTTTTCTGATGATATGAAATGCAGACCAGGAGCTCCTTGGCCCCTGTTGTAAACCCTCTTGACTCAGCAGAGATAAAAAGTCCACGGCTGTGCTGCTCACAAGGGGTAACCAGGACCTGTGCGGAGGCGTCCTGCAGGCTGGGCCAAACAGTAGTATTACTTTAGTATCAAAAGCTTAGCAGAGAAGTAAAAATGTCCGTATTACCTAAACCTCTTTAGAATTTCAGGGAGGCCTGGGCGGCTGATTCGGTAAAGCGTCCGACTTCGGCTCAAGTCATGATCTCGTGGTCTGTGAGTTCAAGCCCTGCATGGGGCTCTGTGCTGACAACTCAGAGCCTGGAGCCTGCTTCAAATTCTGTCTCCCTCTCTCTCTGCCTCTCCCCTACTCGCACTGTCTCTCTCTCTCAAAGATAAACAAACATCACAAAAATTTTTTTAAAAAACTCTTTAGAATTTCAGAGTTTCATCAGGAACTTGGTGTTTAATCCTCTTACCAGACTCTGAACGTCAAAACAAAGTGATGATCTGTGGCTTATTCTTTGCCCATCTGGAGTCTTTCAGAAGAATTCGGTGCTTAATACGTGAAACCCCAGTGCATTGCTTTTCTTTTTAAAAAAAAAAATTTTTTTTAATGTTTATTTATTTTTGAGAGAGCGCAGGCCAAGGGAGGGGCGGGGGGGGGGGGTACAGAGGATCACAAGCAGCCTCCTGCACTGACAGCCTGGAGCCAGATGTGGGCTCCAACTCATGAACCATCAGATCATAACCTCAGCTGACGTCAGATGCTCAGCCGACTGAGCCACCCAGGCACCCGTCTTCTACCTTGTTTTCCCCAATGTCCTCAGGTACTGTGCGGACACCAAGCCCTGGGGCCACCCCGGGGAGCACCACAACCTTTACCCCCAAGGCTGTGATGATGGCTACTGCCTGACCTTGGCTTCACCTTGATGTCCAGGCACTGCCGCAAGTGGGTAGGCATGGCCAGTGACTGAGGCAGTGCCGTGAGGTGATGCTTACCACGTCCAAGGCCATCCGGGAGCAGGTGCTTGGGAGCCCTGCAAGCTCACAGCCTGCGCTGGCGTCTCCCTGCGCACTCAGGCCACCGGGCCACCAGTACTGCCCCCTGCACGGTGAGCGGCAGGCTGTGGGGGACCAGCTGGGGCCCCAGGTGAGCGGAATCCGCAGGCACCACGGCCAGGCTGTGCACTAGGGCGAAGGGCACCTCCAGGAGGCCCAGTCGCCTTCCCGAGAGACTCAGCGCCCTGCTGGCCGCACAGAGATGCTCCAACAGGATCCCAGAGGTGCCGGAGCTCGGTCCTCGACTTCCCAGGCGCTGTCCCCCACGTGGTGCCACCAGGCCAGCTGCTCCTACCAGATAGGGCGGGACCAGGGCCACACCCACCATGTGACGGGGATTGCACAGGACACGATTCAGACCCTGGGTCCAGAGCGCCTGGGAGTATCTCCCGGGCCTTACCTCCCAGCCCCCACATCCCTCCTCCCCGCCTCACCCTGCTCACGCATGCCCGATCCCTGCCAAGGGACGCTGCACCCCTAGAGCTGACCGGGGCTGCCCAAAGGAACGGCTTGTGCAATGTCAGCTGCACAGAGCGGGGGGCCACCTCGTGCATGGGGCCCGTGGAGCTGCCCCTCCCCGCCTGCATCACCGCCAGGAGGTGGTCCGCTCCCTGCTGGGGCACGACCCACACCCACCCCCACATCCACCCCCAACCCCGAGGCCCTGGTTCCCCGGCAGGAAAACCTGGAGAGGCGTGTGCACCAGGCGACGGCCTTGGGCCAGCGCGCCACGTGCCCTGTGTCGCGGAGGACCCCGCCTCACTCGTACAGTCACAGCAGCAGAGCGATGCTCTCCGCACCCGCAGGCCGCCTACCTGGAGACCGCGCAGCTCCGCAGGTGATCCGGAGACGGCCATGCGCCCAAGGCCAGCGCACTGCAGAGGCCGGACTGCGCGGGGAGGAGCCCCCCGCCCCGCGACCCTCCCTCCTGCAGTCATGTGGCCACGAAGGAACACGCCCTGGAAAAAGGTATCCGAAAAGAACCACAGCCCCCTGAGTAGCCTCCCGACCTAGGGCTGACCTCCGAGGAGCTGGCAGGGGTCTCACCTGGCCCCCTGAAGGCCTCCGCCTTACCCTGGAGGTCTAGGGAGCAGGAAATTGGACAGGGAGTTTCTCACTATGCATACTCCGTTAAAACAGATAAACCTGCATATGGACTTTCCAGAGGTTTCTTAGTGAATGTATAAATAATTAAATGGATGGATTACTTATTGCCAAACCCATGATAAATTAGATATGGGGACTAATGCGTATGTCAACTCCTTATTTTTTTAATTGACAAAGTAATTTGTTATGCATCAAATTTAAAGGTCACGGAAGAAATGTACTAATTTCCAGCCGGTATCTGGGACATAGAGGACTAATTAGAACACAGTATCTACCGACTTTCCCACATTAAAAGACTCGAATCTCATTTGTTACCTTCCCCACCATCCTCAGGTCCAAACACAGTCACGAAAACACTGACAATCTGGTCATTCTTCCCTTTCGCCTTTTAACATTGTGATCTTGTTACTTCTTTTTCTTCCTGTTGTTTGGCAAATGCTGGCAAGAGAGAATCTGTACCTAATTAAGACACGATCGTCCCATTTCAATTTCATTGACAAAATGGGTGAGGTGGGCTGTCTCACATGCTTCAAAGGATTTGAAGGCACTTGTGATGTGGCCCGTGGGTAGGTAGCTTTTCTATCTCTATGTAAACACACCCTAAAAGACAATTCTATTCCTAGGAAAGAAATATTTCTAGTGCGGTCTGGAACAGCGCTGTCCAACAGAAGAAACATGATGGGAAACTTTTTTTTTTTTTTAAATGTTTTATTTATTTTTAGGAGAGAGAGAGAGAGACAGCGTGAGCAGGGGAGGGTCAGAGAGAGAGGGAGTCACAGACTGAAACAGGCTCCAGGCTCTGAACTGGCAGTCAGCACAGAGCCCGACGTGGGGCTCGAACCCACGAACCGCGAGATCATGACCCAAGCAAAAGTCAGACGCTTAACCGACTAAGCCACCCAGGCGCCCCAATGGGAAACTTTGATGTAATTTAAAATTTTCTGATCGGGGGATAATAAAATAGGGGAATTAATACCTCGTTTAGCTACCTCTCGAGTGGTAATCAATAAAACAATAGTTATGAAACTTTCGTTATATAAAGACTGGCTGTTATTATTACCAAATTCAACTCAAGTGTCTGCTGACATTTACTGAGTATCTACTGTGTTGCAGGCGTGCTCAGGGACTTTCATATCCGTCACCTTTTCCTTCATCCCTAACTGCCCCCAAACCCAACATAATATCTCTTCCTCCAGCAAGTCCGCCCATGAGGCCAGCACTTCTCTTCACCATCCAGTCAATGGTGGCGCTTACCTTGACAGCTTGTTTCCAAATGTCAGGACTCCGACAAGTGCTGCTTGTGAAGAAGCGTTCACAGGTCTAAGACAAAATAATAGTAACAATACCATTTTTCTTCATCAAGGCATATGAATCAAATCTAAATAGTTTCCATTATTCTGAACTTGTCCTTCCTTTATTTTCTTTTTGGTTGGTGTTAAAGTGTCCCCCACCTTTTTTTTTTTAATGAAAGTATGATTGATGGTGATGATTGATAATGACGTTGATGATGGAGACCATGACGATGATAGACTTTTCTGTTGTTTTCGCAAATGCCCTTTTTTGACCGAATGATTTCAAAAACTGATAGCGTGTGGATCCCTCAACCTAAAAACCTCGAATTAGGTCCATGAGGTTCACACGCTGATGCCTGAGTCCAGCTGCCATGGTGCCAATGGGTTGAGAACAGGCCAGTGTTACGCCGTTGTTTAGCCAATTCCCTAATTAAGATGATTCATTGGTTCCTCATTTTGGTTGGGTTAATATCAAAATCCTTAAAATATTCAGATAAGCAGCTTCTGATCTGGTTTCCGCCTCCCTTGTTGGCTTCAACCTTGCTTAATCCGCCCCCCCCCCCCGCCCCCGCCCCTCTGGGCACGGAGGCCTCCTTTGTTTCCCCAAACACTCAGGCCGCCTCTTTGTTCAGAGCCTTCATTCGAGTCCTCTGCCTGAAATGCCCTCTCTTTGCTGCTCTCTGCCAGGCCCCCATAAGATCTTTCCCCGACTTCGCAGAAGGGAGATATTACGTTATACAGAGTCATGTGGTTTTCCCAAAGGTGGTGTCAGAGACGGGTCTGCAACCCAGATTTCCTAATATTAAAATAGAAAAGGCTTTGCAGAATCTCTCTGCCCAGATAAGATCTGATATTGGTGGAGTGGGAGGGGTGGGGTGTCCTGTGGAGACAAGGAAGCAGGTGACAGATTGGAAGGGAAGGGCCCAAGACAAAACTAGCTGCTCACACCTCTTCTGAACTCCCTCTCAAAGCTCCCTCCCATCAAGAGGCAAGATAAGTGAGCGCTTTTGCGCTGCCCCTGGTGGGTTCATTGTAAATCTGGATAAATCCTTTGTACCCCTAAAAAACAAACAAGTGAAAACTTTATCTTTCCGAAAGTGGCAGAGGTCTCCTATGTGTACGTATCCATGCAGATAAAATGCCCATTTTCTCCTTCCCTTCCACCTGCCGCTTCCTGTAGAGGAATCCCCCTCCCAAAGCGATGGGCCGTGGGGACAGCTGGCTCTCCTCTGCAAGCCGGCTGGCCTGGGCCGCAGGCTCACCTTTGTGCGACGCCAGCCCCCTAACCCCTCCGACAGCAGCAGGATCCTTTGCTCAAACCCACTGCCTCCTAGGAAGGGGGGCACCGGGGGTCCTGGACACTCAGGGCCCCTGGGAGGCACACTCCCTGTGGAAGCTTCCCAAGCAGCCCCCTCCACCCTCCGTTTGCAGCACTTACCTAGAGAATGCCGGAGGGCCACTTGTCACAGTGAGGCTGCCTCGAGAGGATCCCCCAGCAGCTACACTGATGGTCAGCGAGTGATGCCCCAGACGCGCTGCTGGGAGCCGCTGAGCAACGGGGGACTCGGGTCAGTAGTTCTGAGTGAGGGCTTGGCTATCACGGCGGCAAAACGGGCACGTGGAGGTCTTTCCTCCGGGCACTTTCCTCTGAGATTCTAACACAGAGCCCAGCGGACAGAACAAAGCCCCAGACCAAGCCCCTGCCCCCGCTGCTGCTCAGACCTCTGCTGGGGCTCGTTCTGGAATGACCCCCAGGAGGGAAGTCACTTGGACTCAGAAGCAAGTGACGTGACTCATTGGTTTACAAAGACTGGAATAAACAGAGGGAAGCAAGTGCCTGCAGAAACAATAGGAAATGTGAACGGTTTGTCTTCTGAGAAGCCCGAGAGCGTGTCCTGCCTTGGCGCAGGCCCCACGGCGTGTGCCCGGGGTGCGCCCCTCCACGAACCTGGCGTGAGAGCACACACTTGCAGGCCTTCCACGCCGCCAGCAGAGCCCCCCCCCGCCCCGCCCCGCACTTCTAGACCTTTCCTCCAGCGAACCGAGGATAAGAATGAGAAGGGGCGAGGCCAAAGAAAATACCGTGCTGACCGGATTCCTAGTAATCGATCCGAGGTTACAGCAGAGCGAAATCTAGCACAGAAATGGCACAAGAAGGGTGAGGCGGCCCTTTGCTCCACGATGCCCTGTTCGTAAACGGCAACAAAATTAAACAGGGATGGGGGTCATGGCGGTTTTACTGAACAGGAGAAAATAGAAAAGGAAGGCTCTGAAAATAGGCCCCCCCTCAGGTAATCATGCAGTACTTCTGGACCAGTAAAAATTGGGACTGTGAGCAGGGAATAAAGCAAGTTAATTAGAAGCTGAAGCTGAGCCTACTTGCCCACCTAAAAGGACGGCCACGTTGGGGTGATAAACCCTTTGAACTGTGGCTAAGTACCAGTACTGTTTACTCTGAGGAAGGAAACTGTCAGTTCTGTTTGTTCACAATGAGCCAACCACAATGTGTCTGATGGATTTGGGGTTAGGTTAGTGAAAGAGGTGCACGTCAAGTGTAGGAAACAAGGTTTATCGCGGGATTAGATTTAGGAAGACAAAAGTAATCAGGAGACTGCTGGGCAGGCTTTGTTTGCTGTGAGACTCCAGGCATGGGGTTGTTTTTCTCGAGAGTTAGCCCCACATCCTGGGGGTGCAGGGGGAGGCGGGAAACGGGAGCAAAGGCCCCTAAAATTCTAATTCTGCTCTTCACCACTTTTAAGAAATGTACATGGTCCCCCACCCACCACCACCTCCAATGTCTCAGGTGGTGATTTCTGTCTTCTTGCCACAAATCCTTTCATTCTGAGAGGAACGCCAAAACGTGGTGATCCTGTAGTTACTAGTAATCAGTGTAGAAGAGTCCCATTTCATCACAGAATTCCGTTTAAAATGTTTTAAATGCTGATAACGCGGATGGGAAGCAGTTTTTGAGAGCATACCCTTTCTGATCCCAAGAGCAAATATAAACCAAAGCATATAGGCCAAGGGATAAAACAAAGAAGGCTTTCATGGGCCAAGTCTAAACGTGTGTGGACTCGAGATCTGGTGAAGTTCTTTCCAGAGACTTCTGTGACACAAGCATATGCAATTTGAAAAATGAAGAGTTTCACTTAAGGCTAAACACACTTGAGTCACTGGTGAGCGTCGCTAAAAAAAAAAAAAGAAGAAGAGGAAGAAAGAAAAGAAAAAAGAAAAAGAAAATGAAAAAAATGAAAGAAAAAAGAAACAAACAGCGGAATTCAAGGAAAAGGCTGGAAATTACTTTAAAAATTTACTTAAAAAACCAAATTTTTTTCCTCTAGTCCATGAAATCCTCTGTTCTCTAAAGAGTTCAGTGGCTTCCAAGTGGCGGACAAATTGACAAACTATGACAGTTGTAATAACTTATCCTGCTCCCAAAGTCGGACGCTTAACCGACTGAGCCACCCAGGCGCCCCTCACCTGACTCTGATTTTAATGAGGCCTCTGCATGCAATCCTCCTTAAAAATTTTACCACCGCCAGCTTCAACAGTGCCGTCCTATCTTGCTTTGTTTTTCACAAATATAGAATATGTTTTACTTTTTTGTCTTGTCTATTTACCGTTTCTTTATTCCCACCTAGAATGTTAGTTGTCACAGATTTTTATCTGTTTTGGTCACTCTTGAATCCTTAGCATTTGGAATAGCCCCTGGACCGTAGTAGGGACCCAAAACAATTTCTTGAATATACATCACTCACCCGACTCGCCTTCCGTTATTCATCTTCTCTTAGAGGCTGTATGTGCTGCCCTTCCAATTATACCACGTCTCCTTGCAGATGAGAACAGTTTCCTTTTTACTTTTTTAGCCTCCATTGTACTTTATATAACATTCATAAGGAGCAAGAAATACGTATTTACTAATTAACCCAATGGAAAAAAACACCGATAACATTCTAAGTAGATAAGAGACTGACTTTGGGATCATTGAGCTACTGTGAAGTGTCATATCTCCCCCCGAACCTGAAGATATAAGGCGGAATCACATTCTGCAAGGAGAAATGGTATCTGTACTATTACTACCCCCTGGAACTGTCAGGAGCATCAAACCAGATACAGAATTGCAAAGCTCTATAAGAGCGTTACTGTTCTCATGGGTTCAGAGCATCAGATGAGTCCAGCACAGCCTTTGCTTGAAGGTAAGCCTTCACCGAAAACCACAGTGCAGGTAAAACCCATGTGAGAAGGTTCACCGTGTGCACGGCCTCAGCCTGCCCACTGAGGGATTTACAGGCTGAAGCTGCCACTGGAAACGGGCCCCACGGCCACGATGCTCAATGAGATGGAGTCTGGAAAGATGGAAGGAGGACCTGTGTGAAATTTTGCTCTGAATCTGGACTTTTAAGTCTGACTATGAGTCTCAAAGTTTCAGTAGCTTCTAACTCTGGGGCTCAAACAAAGAAGGATGAGTGGCAAAGATTCCTGAATCTCCACTCCATTCAATACGCTCTAACGAGAGGAGAAAGAAACAGAAAAGGGTCAAGAGTTGGGGGATTTGTTTGGACACACAAGAGCATAAGAGAGGTCAACGCAACAATGTGTGAATCTAGACAGAACTTAGAGACGCGGTCCATCCAGCTCACACAGACCATGCAGAGGGCAGGCTCCCAGGGAAAGGGGGCGGATTACTGCCTGGGGCTTCCAGTGGATTTTTAAGGATTTAACACAAATATATTATTCTTATGAAGTTCTCTGTATTTTTCCAATTTGGCCACCACTTCTCTCTCTCTCTCTCTCTCTCTCTCTCTCTAGATTTTTGAGAAACACACATACAAAGGCTATTGCAAAACCAACACCCACTGGCATGAGTGGAGAGTAGATTTGGCAGAACACTTTTCCTATCGGTCTGTCTCCTTGGCATCTACTCATAGCTTTCCTCCCACGGGCGGTGGTAGCTTGACTCTCCCCAAAACTTACACTTGAAGAACCATACTCTGGTCTGGGAATGTCTCATTTCACTTCCTCAAGCTTCTCTGTATATTGGTTCCCAGCCTGCTTCTGAATTGGGACTTCTGACCAAGGTAAATTCTAGAGTTCGATCCAATAAACATAACGACGTTTACTCTGAAGTCACCTGTATGTATCAAGGTGCACAGATGTGTCGTACAAAAGTTAAGAACAAAGTCTGGCATCAGCTGTTGGCATTTTGATCCCAAGTCCAAGTGCATGGGTGCTGTGCTCACCTCTCCACTCAAGCTAAGCTTCGGATAGCTAACTCTCTCTATGGCTTTGAGAGAGGGTGTTGTGAGGGTGTACTATGCACATAAAGCACTTAGAAAAGGGGGCCTGGCATCCAGCAAGCACTGCATAAATGTTTGCTATTTTTGTTCACTCTAATGGTCCTGTCAAATAGACAGAGATTAACCAACTCTATCTAGAAGCCTCATGATTTCGTTATTGTTTCATCCATCATCTGCTTAGGTGTGTGTGTATACACACATAGGTATACACATACATACATGTACGTATACACACACACACACACACGCACACTTTTTTGAGTTTCAGACGTAACTGCACTTCAACCCAACTTCAGGATACATTGCCTAAAAGTAGGATCAACTACTAAACTACAATAATGTAATCACATCCAGGAAAGTTTATATTAATTCCATAATATAACCTAGCAAAATACCTAAATAAGGATCTCCATATTTTATCCATAATAATTTATACCCAAAGATAAAATTATATATATAATTATATAATATAGAAAATATATCTATAATAAATTATATCCAAAATATCCACATTTCCATGTCCCTCATTGTACCAAGAATTCTTTTTTTAATAGCTGTTGTTTTCCAAACAGGAGTCAGTCAAGATTCACGCATTGGCTTTGGTACTTAATGCCGTCAATGATTAATGGCTAAAATCTCCTCCACGGTGAAAATTGTAAATGTACCTTCGCAAATAGAATTCCTTGTGTGGAGGAGTTGGGGAACCCCTGCCTCAGATCTCTTTCTGTTTCCTTCTGCTGCTCTTCCCCCGGCTCCGAGGGATATCTGTTGTGGTTTCTAATGGTCGTCTTTCCATTAAATGAAACCTCAACTGAAAACAGCAACCTCCGGAGCCCAGTTCCCACCCTCCTCACTGCTGAAGCTTCCTGGGAGCTTGATGGTCCCTCATGCTTTCAGTACGTCCATTTTCTTTTCTTCAACCGTTATGTTGGAAATCCCTGTTCCCTCGTGCTTCTTCCCATCAGCCCCGCGGCCGGCATCCGGGAGCTGGAATTGGGCTCCGTTGGCCCACGCTGACTGTGACCTTCCAGACCAGGGGCCAACGAGACGGGGAGAGGAAGCTTTATTTTTGCTTCCGGATCCCTCAAGACTGTACAGTGAAACCGTCTGATGGCTTTATAGGTTTCTCTTTAATGTGACCGATATTCTTTTAAGTCTTGTGTTCTCCAAACTCTTCTGGGCCGTTTTGAACATAAAGTTGGCATTTCCTTTTCCGACTGAGGACGTTCAGGAGCAAACTGGACTGAGACTTCCCAGAGGAAAGAAGGTTTGGGTTGCTCCTTGCCGGGGGGGTCACAGTGCTATCTACTGACACATTCCAATGCCTCATAAAAGCAGTCAGAGACTGCCCAAGAAAAACACCATTAAGTATCATGGTTCTTGATTTTTACAGCTACTAATAACGTTTCCCTTTGAGTTTGCTCAGAGCTCCGCACATAGTTTAAACAAGCAAGCAAATAAACAAAACAAACCTTATTTTCCCCTGCCTGCACGTTTGCTGTGT